GTAAGGTGGATAAAACTCAATTGTGTTTCTAACACACGAAGAAAACCATATTTACCTCTTTGTACCAGCAAATGTCTCAGTTTAATCATCATCATCATCATCACCAATTGTTTACGTTGAAGCCAAAACAAGTATTTTTTGTTGCTGGGTCCCTCAAACGCAATCATAATAAAGTCACAAATTGTATACACAGTTGCCAACGAGGCATTTATCATTGTTAATTTTACCGTCAGTTTGTTGTTAATTTCTCCACCCACATATGTGAGCATTAGTTTGGCGACGAAGGAAAACATTTAAGGAACCGAACATGTGGAACTTAAGAATGTGTGTTCTTGAGGTTGTAACTGCCAGATTGCCCACCGATAACCCGAACTTACATCTCTCATTGCCCTCATCATCATCAGCCATGGCCAATCGAAACAGCTCAATGTGGATGACACACAGCAGTCATCGCCATTTACTGCAAAACCTTGTGGCAGGAGCCTCCTGCAAAATATTCAGGAGACTCGGCGAGGTTTTCCTGGGTTTAACAAACTTAAAAATAAAATAAAAAAAATCCGCCGCATGATGAAGGCCTGCACAAGCTGCCGCCATCTCCCACAATCCTGCGGTGTAACAAGCCACCCAGCACCCCTGGACACAAGCTGATTTTTCATCGCTCCATCTCCCCGGTAGACGATTCCTCTCGGACGCCGCTCCAGGCTGCCGCTCCCTCATTATTCTTGCCATCGGCCATCAGCGCTTCTAGCGACGTTACATATCTCAAACTCGCTTACTTTTATTTATAATTTCACCCTCAATGGGTCAAGTACAATGCTCACTTCATATATTACTATTTAATTGCATGATATATTGTATTTCAAGCGACTTAAAATACATGGTATATTTATAAATACCTTGAGTTATTGCCTCAAATTCAGAAAGTCTAAGTTTTTACACTTAAACGAGCATGGTGCGGTACTCATGTGAACCTTATGGCGCTACCTCGGGGTATCATAGTACCCCGGCTCTCGCACAATGTCCGTGATGCAGTCATTTTTAGTCTGTTGATGGTCGGCGATGCGGCAATCGACTCATCTCGACGAGCGGCACACGATGCACCACTACGGTGCGTGCGAGCGTTCAGGGTTTCAGCGCGATCGTCCTCGCTGTGTTTCGACATCGCGGAGTGTGACACTGATTTCGGATTGATTGGTACCTCAGCCGCGGAGTTAAGCAACACCCCTGGAAAAAATAGTGTCCCAGAAATAAAATATTTAATTGCCTCGTCCATTTTGTATTATTTGGTACCCCGGGGTACTGCCATAAGGATAATTTATTGTTGATGGCTCGGGTCACCACCTATTCCACGGACCAAACCCAGGCACGGTTCTCAGTCAGCCGAGGTCTATCAAAACTGTGCGGCACTGTCCATTATATTGGAATAAAGTTCAACACAATACCACCAGATATCGGTACACACAATCAATTCCTGCCGCCTGAACACAGATGCCAATTCGTGAAACTGTCCGGGTCAAATCAGGACAGGTGGGAACACTATATATCCCTAAGCCAGTGGTGGATATTCCTCATTCCTTTGGCAGGGGTGAATTCTCCTGCAGGACAACCAGTTTTTGCCTGCCACGCGAAGCGTTGGGCATTGAGCCTGCAGCGACAATGGTTGCACGCATCTCCTGGTGGTGATTTAAAATCGCAGCTTTCACGCTCCCACCGCGGCACCGCCACCCAGCTGCAGTGACATTGGTATAAAACTACAATGGTTTGTAAAATATTACATTTCCTCAATGGCACGGAGCGGTGGTGCAGTGGCTAGCACGCTGCGCTATGAACCCAGCAACCTGGATTTGATTTCCAACCATGGCTAACATCAGCGGCGAGTGATATCACAATCAGTCCTGGGCTGCCTCTAGGTCGACTCGGCTTTAAAATGTTTATTTTAAAATTAGTGGTGTGTAAACATCACCATTGGGGAGTCAAAGGCACCGACCACATCATCCCCTGATGCACCACACCAGCCTAGAGAGAGGCTATAATGAAGATTTTTGGCTTTTTTGCATATGTATGTATATATAAAAGACTTTATTCGGACAAGATGAGATCTGCCGAGTGAGCCAGCGTTACTGGCACTTTAAGTGTAACAGCTTAGACGTTTTCCATCGCCATGGTGTGGGGAAAGCCTGTTTACTTTCGGCTGTTGCATTTAGATTTCGCATCTCCTTGCCAGAACTGCATTGATTTGTGATGTATCCTACGCTGGAATGCAGCAGCCAACACGCGGATGGCTTTAAAACCCAGCCAAAATGATCTCAACGCAAAATAAAAATGAATGTATAATGCTAAGCAGTGCTTTAACTCGAAGCATTCAATAGCAGAATCTGGCACGTGGTCACAACATAATTTAGATTCTGCCCGATTCAATTTAACATATCCTTCCAGAACTTCGTAAGTTATAAAGTAGTTGGGGAAAAAAGGTACATAATTATTTAAAAAAAACATTGTTATAGAACTAAGCCATTCTGTATGTCGGAGATTATGGGTTCGAGTCTGGGTTTCGCCCACGCATAACTAATCCAGGTTCTCGAGTGCAGCATGATGATGGTCTCAGCCCAGGCACAATGACTGCACAGGAAAAAAAAATCCCACTATGTTAAATTGGGGCTTAAACTAAATTTTGAAAGAAAAAAAAATCCAACTTTGAGAGTGAAAATGTAAAAAAAAATGTGTCATTGCTATGAGATGAAGACCTCCATGGTGGAGTGCGTGGGAATGTGCAAAGTTTATCTCAGAAGTAGCTCAATTATATCTACTTTTGTAGGCTGTTCTTTAACACGGGGTGATGCACTGTTTTCTTCGATTTTTGAATGCACATTTCGTTTCGTGAAATGACATGTAGCAGTGAAATATGGGTAAACTCAGCCTAAAGTGTGTAATGCTAATGCAGTAATAATGCTCATGGAGTGTTAACAAAGGCGGATGGGGGTTGTTGTTGTTGGCACGCACGACCTGACCTTAATAGGCGCTCACTAACAACCAGACTAACAAGGGCATCCTTATACATGATTTATTTGTGTATTGTTTTTAATGTACACGTGCGTGTGTGGTTATCTGAACTAGTTCTGGGTCTCCCCTCGATTAACTCAGCCTCGAATGAGTATCGGGTGCGGTGTGTGAACATCGCCAATAGAGAGAAAAAGACGGCCGGGCGTGGTTCTGGCCACCAACCCCCCTTTGTGCGCCATGCCAACCTTCTGAGGTATACGCTCACAGTACTTGCCCAAAAAGTCTATTTATGGATATATAAGGGGGATCTTTGTCTTGTTTGTTCGGTACACAGTGTCCTTCGGTTACATCATGCGATGCAGTCGTCATGTTTACTGAATACAACCCGTGTGTATAAAGCAGACAGACCTAAGGCAATCTTTTACACTCTTCAAACAGTATGTCTCTTGCAAGAGACCTTGGAATACTCAAGTAAAACTCGATACACTCGAAGTATAGTAAAACATTGTTCAAAATAATAGCCGGTGTCAATTCATTTCCGCATGAAGGCCTCCCCCCGCCATGTTGATCATGGGCATTGTTTGACCATACTTTGCCGTGCGTGTCGGTGAGCACTGCTGTGGCAGCGTAGAAGTATGGTGGCAGCAGAGGTTGAAGGAGGGAGGTCCAGGACTGCATTAATTATAATTATCACTCACCGCCGGTGGTAGCCGTGGCCAGGAATTTAACTCAGGATAATCAGATTCGTGGCGCAGTGCGTGAACCCCTCTATCGCAACCCCTTTTGTCGACCCACTGTTATGTGAGGGGCCTCCCCACACCATGCACGGGGGGGGGGGGGGGGCGGCATGTGGGGTAATTTGACTATACTTCACCGTGCCGGTCAGTGCGGGTTGGTGAAAGTGTCGGGCATAGACATGGGAGCAAATAACTAAACTGAACAATTTTTTTTATTTGACCAGGTAAGGCCCACTGAGCTATAAAGCTGTTTTTCAGAAGCGACCCGGCTATCACAAATGATAGCTCAACGAAGCAGTTTATCACGTGGACATTTATAGCAGCAAAAAAAAAACCGAAACTCTAAACTCATGTTTCTAATTGTGGAGGGAAAAACCGAAGAACCCGGAGAAATATCTACGCAACCACTGGGAGAGAGACACCGCAGACTCAAAATACACAACAGGCGTCAGGGTCGGGATCGGACCCACGACCTCCTGCATACCAGGCGAGGTAGTTAACGTCTCGCCACCGTGGGTGTAACAATAGTGCAACGGCAGAATAGTACAACAATGGATTTTACAACAATGTCCTCTGCTGTTCACAGTGTATCCCCGCAGCAGCCTATAACACCTGTTTTGTGCCTGGTGGTTGCTCATATAAGCTCTGTTCAGGCTCAGCCCTGCTCAGCTTACGGCCAAAAATCGCCCACGACGTGTCCGATCCCCTCTGCCCTCGTACACGACAGCGTAAAACGATGTAATTGCATCGAATGAATAGAGCAGGGTCCTTTTTTGTTACACAATCACATGAACCTTAACTGTGCTCTAGGGCATGCTGAACTGTCATGCAATATTCATAACAGTTGCTGGCAGTAATGAAATGTAGATAAATAATATAACCTCTTAAGCATAATCGATATGAAGAGCTGACCACTAAAAACCCTTGATCAATAGAACCAAAGTGCACGTACACTGTGCCATGTACAGACGCTCGCGAGCAGACTGCTGACCTCCATGCGCCTATACGTCGTGCCATCCCTGTACTCGGCGCGCTATAAATGTGCAACCCTAATGCCTTCTCAAAAAACAAATGCATTTACCGGTGATGTTATTTCCTCTGATAATGTACGGTGTAAAATTCAATACAACGGATGATAAGGCGTTGTGTTTGTTTGAACCAATTTGAGTGTTTTCTAAATTTATTTTTGCATTATTGAAATATTACTCAATGCACGGCGCATCATTTTTTCGTTTGCTTCATGAATACAATCACACGACGTACCTGTGCCGATGCTTGCATCCTGGGATTATATCCCTTAATTGGAGGCAAGGAGAAAACGAAAGCAACGAATAGCAAAGGTGAGGATAAATCCTTGTTTGTGATAGCCCAGTGGAGTAAATCTTCGCAGAGGCCCTTTCCATTTTCCTCCCACGGCCCGCAGATTTCTGCGGGGAAATCGCTCCGTCTGCCGTCAAGCCAACATTCGGCACACACTCTCATCCCCCCACCACCACCCGTCGCTGTCGCCGCTATCACCCAGCGCTCGCCAATCCCTCCCCTCCCGCACTCCCTCCTGCCCGCCCCTCCAGCCCACCAGCTTCACACGTTAGCACCCACGGGTGGATCAATAAGCACCCCCCCCCACCACGGAATGAAAGCAATTTAAATCTCGGCCGACACTCTTCTGCTCCGCTGCCGCAGCCGCACGTAGCTTGCCGGCCCCCGAAAATTCACTTTCACCGGTGAGTCGCTTTTGCCACCGTTACACTCCGGGCCGTTCCGCCAGCCGCAACGAAAGGCAATTTCTGCCCTCCCGAAATGTCCCCCCCCGTTTAGACAAATCGAGATCGTCACCCCACCGCAATTCCTGCACATCAGAATCGGAAGTTTGTTTTGCCGAGGTTAAAAAGCCCATGAGAGCGATGCAGCTTCCTGTGCAAAGGCCCACCCGGACAGCAGAGAACAGTCGGCCCAGCCGATGACAATTTTTTCTGCAAAAAAAATACAATGAAATATAATCCTGCCCAGGGCTCGTGTTCTACGTCCTGCAATGAAGGGAGGATCTGGAACATTGCGACACGCGGGTCGTACCTAAGAGTGTATTACAACTAATATGTCACCATCTGCTGCGCGGTGTCATGCCACCACAGAGGTGCGCAACAGCAGCAAGTGGCATTACCGCCACGAGACCCCCCATCGGGCAGCGCGTGCCGCAAAAAAAGTTGCGTGACAGCAAGAGGATTTATGTCGAAGCTGATGCCGAACGGAATCTTAAATGAAGGACCTCTCTTTTGTTGCCTGCAACTGGGGAAGGAGCGTTGGTCGCAGCAAGGATCGGGAGGCGGATGGCATATTTCCCAGCACACCCATTTGATCGATGAGAAAACACAGCAGAATAATGACCCTCTGCCCCGAAGCCATTCATTCTGTTGCTTTGCAGACGCGAGGTCTGCAGAGTTTTACGCGAAGACACCGCACAACCTGCGACTGCACTCAAGGCACTTTATCACCCGCGACAGATTTAAACAATATTGGGTATCAGGCGCTCGGTCACCCGGCGTTTGAGACTGTCCTGCCGGTGTTGTTTTATTAATACAACTTCAAATTGTGCATCATATACTGCTGCAAGAAGGCTCCGCGCGTAACATTTACGAGGCTCCAGCTGTCATCGTTTCCGCAATGGCGACGCGATGACGTTTGCATTTAATTTGCGCAAACTCTCACGAAAATACGTACGTGATCCAAAAACATCATGAAAAAAACACGAGTTAGTGGATACATTCGCGACGAACAAGAAAAACGTGGGGTGGGTGGGTGGGGGGAGAATTAAAAAAACGGAGCTTCAAACTGTCGCTGAAAAAGGACACCAAATGGGAAGAGTGCCCGTTTCAATAAACCGTACACTCATCGTTGTGTCCGGGCCGAGAAAGCTTAGGAAAGCGTGGTCAACAACAGATACGTTTCATCGAAATGCATGCCAGTCCCTTGCGATGCCACCGAATCATTCCATTGAACCGACGGCCCACACCTGAATCGGGCGCTCCGCAAAAAAAACCAAAAAAATCCCAGCTTGCCTTTTGCCAACGCGGTACCTGTAACCCAATATGCCAAGGCAGCCACCAGGGCTGACAACATTTTAATGACATTTAACCACGGGATGACATACTGCGCTCTGGCCGCCGCCAGCGAGTGCGGGGAAGTCGGTCGAGTGCGGGAAGCTGCTTATCCAACTCCGTCGATGCGTCGTTGCCTTAGCGAGATGGACTGGGTCCAGCGAAGGGGGGTGTCGACTTGGCCGTCCTTCACACGGCAAGTCGGCACTCATTATGTTCTGGGTTTTTTTTTCATCATCGGTAATTCCATGGAGGATGGGTGCGTGGCAGGGGGGGGTGTTCCCCCTCAACTTGACAGACTTTTGGAGGGTGGGGGGACAATGGATTGTAGACCCGCCCCACTACATATCGCTGTGTACAGAGAGGTAGGAACCAATATACTTAATTTTAACAGCATACAAACTCATTCTAGATTTGAAGCTTTCGTGACTGCAAGGATTCATACCCTTTGGTTTTTTAGGTAAAGTCACGTAGGTAAAATAAAATTAAAATAAAATAAAACTAAATTAAATCACGACGTTTCGGAGGCAACACAAGCTTCCGTCTTCAGGTGGAACAGACACAACAAAGTTCGCTGTATCAAGTTGCCTCCGAAATGTCGTGATTTAATTTAGTTGTTTTATTTTATTTTTATTTTATTTTACCTACGTGACTTCACCAAAAAAACCAAAGAGTAGCATACAAACTAATATCTTTAGTCCAAACGTTTTATTTACCACAGATACATTTTGATCTTCGCATTCAATCTTTCCATTTCACAAATGCGCCCCTTTGTTATATTTCTTCTCTACCTCAATGCAACCTCTCGTGGCGTTTGGACCAAAATTTCTCTCCGTTTACCTTCTTCCCTTTTCACCGTCCACTTTCCCCGTGCACTGGAACACGTTCCACAGACGTTCTACTTGGAAGGTCATTGGCGGATGGGTTGGGGGGTTGGGGGGCACAGCTGTAACATCCCGCAACGTGACAGTGGCCCTCGTCTGCTCTGCTGGGGGACACTTTGCTCTTCCTCATGGTTCAGCAGCAGAGATCACGGACGCACGGCTGAACCCCGCCATACAAGACGGTCGGTATCGGGGACGCCTTAAGTTCACTGCAACTGAGTGGCTCCAGGCGCTGTCTCGCGTTATCCCACCTGACATCCGCTGCGACGCCATCGTGCAACACGAGATGGGCCACAGCAACAACAACAAAAAAACCCGTAAGCAATTCCGACCTCCCATCCACGGAAGACTTCAAAAACCAAACCACGAAAGCGCTTCAAGTCGTTCTGGAAATTAAAATTACGGCCGCTATTCATGTAGCTGGCACCAACCCATCATCCGGATGGCCAGAATCGTGGAATGCGTTCAACATAAATGACCAACACCTCATCGCCGACCTAACAGGTCCCTGGCTTCGACCTCCCGTGACTACGGTGGACTGCACTCAACCGAATCCGCCCAGGACACGGTGGGCGAAGAAGGCGGCCACCTGCTTCACGAGCGGAAGATGAGGGATGACCCCCGAGGGCGACTGTGGCCACGCGTCCCGGACCGCGGAACGTATCGCATCAACCTGGCCCCGCACGCCTCATTTCTCCACTTAGCATCTCGGGAAGCCGCCGTGTGGATCGACAAACTCGGACGTCCCATTCTGGGCCCTTTCCCGTCGTAACGAAATCAGAAGAATGCACTATTCACGACTAAATTACCTGTCCTAGGAACAGCGTCACTCCGCGGAGGGAAAAAAAAAGCTGTAGCTGAGCCGAGTGGGCACAAGAAAGTGCCACGTAATCTGAGGCAGGGACTCCTACGCTTGTCCACATCTCCTCTCTCACCCCGTCTTCTTTCTAATGGACACCTGGTGGCGGTGACACCACCGCAGTCCTTCGCCCTGGCCCCTTACGCTCCCGCCATCGTGATGCCATTCCGCCGTGTGAAGCGGTGGCACCGCCAATGGCTTTCAAGGTCTACCGAGCACGCACCAATTGCCCTCAAATTCCTGACCGCGGGGCACGCATGTACGCTGAACCTCTTTCGCACCGCACGTAGCCAACCGCGCTCATCGGAGGTGCATATCCACATCTGGCTCTCCCCACATCAGAACTCCCTCGACGTCACGTGTAAATCGGTAACATTTTACACGGGAGAAAATGTTCAAGGACTGAAGTTCTCGAGGCGCACAAGTATGGGTCACTGAGTATGGCCAATGCCACACTCCGTGAGAGACGACGGAATGAAAGTTAAGTGAGGAAGGAAGCGCCGAGAAGGAGCGCTACAAGTGAGTGGCGAGGTTGGATTTGCGTGACAGGTGGCATCGCTTACGCAGCAGGAGGGGAACGATCTAGATGAGTGTTCCTGCCCGGAACCCCGCATAGAGAGCGAGAGAGATGCTCGCTTGCGTACTGGATTCCGAGAAGGGGCTTGCGAAGGCTTGGCGGTGGGAAGGGATCCCTTCACCCCCTTTAAATGTACGCCCCCACCCTACCTCAACCCCCATCTCGGGCTGCCTCTGTGGACTTGAAACCCATTTCGTCAGGCCGCATCGCTGTTTTCAGTTGAGCGGCAAGCCGCTGCGGTCAGCCGGAATCCTGGCCGCTGCTTTGTTAATAATGGCCCCCCACTGTACGGTCGCCAATCTCATAACGGATCCTTTAAAAGCGGAGTTTGTTTACCCCCCCCCCCCCACTTCTTTAAGCGTGATATTGTCACTCTTCTGTTATTCCAGTCACGTCCTGCAGAGTAAAATAATTAATAAAAAGGGGGCAGAATCGCTTCAGAGAGACGTGCGGATCGTGAGTGAATTCCTAATGATGGAGATTTTTTTGTACATTAACCCATTTACCATGCCATAAAAAAATATTCACACATTATTGAAGGGCTTTTGACAAAATTTGATCACATTTACCTAATGAGAACATAGCAGCAATGCGAAATTGACATCTTAAATTGTTCTCCGTGTGACGATAGACGAGCTTCATACGTCGTCTTACGTGACATGTCAATATCTTCCTTTTGGTAAATTGCTTCTTGAAAAATTTACTGCGATACTGACGACCAAAATAATGGTTTACGTTGATGCCTTTTGGAAGACCTAAAAGGTGGACTGATTTTCTGAGTAGCTGTAGAACGAAACACATTTTCTAAAAGGTATTGAGCCACCATTTATGGCGCTTATTTGCGTTTTAATGCAGCAAAACTCACTTAGAGCTCTGTGTGG